TCCCAGAGGTCATGAAAAGCCTCTTTAGTAGAGCATGCTAGGCTGTGCTTATGCCAGGTCATTTAAGCACATTTGTATTGCCAGTCAGATGATACACAGAGTAGTTCATGATTTTGTAATAAACCGTGCAACCTGGACCTTTAGTGTGTGCCACAGTGGGATACAGCACTTGCATTTAAATGACAGTACAATAATTCAGTAACTGTATTTTAATAGTATACTAATCTTTAAAATATGTGGAAAGAGTAAGATTATGAAATCCAGATGAGTCGTCTGGGTTCTTCCCCACCACCACCATTTCTTTCTTTTTCTGAAACTGGTTTATTCATCTGGGCTATCAGTCTTTTATTCGGCTCTTGGTGTTGAAATAGTGCCATTTTTAATAAACGGTTTAGCGTGATTCTCAAAATCAGATTTTTATTCCCTTCTTTTTCCATATCCATTCTCCATAGAGATAAATTAACCTTTTATCTTAGGATAAAGACAGCAATGTAAATAGAGACAGCATGATTGAAAGATTAGAAAAGACACCATTTCAGCCAACTATTTGCAACATTGGTGACTGCGAATCAGAATTGCTGGGTCTGTCTGAAACCCTGCCACTACATTACTGTATGACTCTGACCAAATCCTTTTGTTTTCTCTCTCTTTCATTTTTTCCTCCTGTATTAATAAGCACTTTGTGGTTACCTAGTAGTTTACCTTTTCAAAGGACCATACAAACCTTGTAAAAGCAGTGTGATGCACACTCAACTTACCAGCAGTATTACTGTTTAAATGTTGCTTGTCAGGCACTTGTATCTGGAGATTTCTGGTGTCTGATGCTTAAATACAAAAGCTCAAAGTTATTTAAGTCAAGGTTGAGTGAAGCTACAAAATACAGCTCTGGAATATTTTGTTTATCCCCCAAATTCTGGTGTAGATGAAAGGTTCTTCTTTCTTCCCTCCTATGTCTGGAGCTCAGCTGGGAAAAAATATCTAGAGCAAATCAAGAATTTAAAATTCCCCGAGCTCCGAAGTTTTGGTTAATGACAGTCTTCCAATCCTGAGAAGCAAACCACCAGCTTTCCCTAAAATAGTGACTATTCTGACACTGCTGTGGTACGCTGCTGTGGTACAGGGGATGGGAATCTCTTTACCAATGCTTTGCTCTTGCTGTGAGTACTTCATTTTATTAGCCCTCCATTGTGTGTTTTTGCTTATGCTTTATTCACATTTTTTTGGGGTTGTGTGTGTTTTGTTTTGTGAGACAAATGCGCTACTTTAAAGGAAACATTTCATAACCTTTAATCAAGATCATATTTTACTTTCATCACATCTGTGTTTTTATTATTACAAGCCTTTTGGGTCTTAACGTCCTCTGGTCTTAAGCATTAATCGTTTTGGCTGATATATAAATAAATGTTTGACTTTGTTTAACTCTTTAAAAAATAGTGACTTGAAAATAAAACCCTTATCAATGGCATCTTGCAATAACTGCATGTCAAAAAAAGGCAGGGACCAATCAGTACTGAGCTTTCTCTAATAAAAGCTAAGTGTAGGGAGTAGTTTTAGATTCTGTGATCCCACTGTATAAAACAATCTCCTGGCTGTTTGAAGATACCATCTACCTGGAGTGAACATATTACTGGTTTGTTTTTTTTTTTTTTCTTAATTACTACTCTTGTTTGCCCTAGCTGTTGTGCTACACTTACACGCAGCCTTGGCATAACTGAGAGTTAAGCCTGCTAATCAATAATATGGCAGAATGTTAGCTGGGAGATTTTGTAGTTAAAAATAAAGGTAGACCAACACCTAATTCTTCTCGTGGTTACACAGGCACAAATCAGTAATGAAGACAGCACAGTTCTTGATTTAAACTAGGAGAGCAGAGAATTTTGAATTTATGTCTGCAGATAGGAAAAACAGTAAAAGGGCTCATGCAGTATAGGAGTGAAGATCCTAACAGTCATCTTCACACTTAACACAATTGTATATTATTACCTGTCTCCCAGATATTTTTTACACTCCCATGGAATGCATCAGTGTAGTTCCACTGTGGTAAAGGAAATTACTTAAATTATTATCGTCTCATGATCCAACGTAGGATTTCTAAACTGGCTCAATTTTTAATGTATTTGACTTCCAGTGAGGATTTGAGAATGCTTTTCAAAATAACAGAAGTAAAAATGTTACGAAGACCAAACAATGAAGTAATATAATTTTGTAAATACATGTAATAGCTGAAAATTGTTTACTTATCCTCCTTTATAAGAACCAAGCTTCTGTGACCTCCGATTAATTTGCCATTAGCCTGAACACACAATGAAAGTGAATGAAGGGGCAATTTGGAATGACATTTATCAGCTCTGGAACTGTCGACTTCTATTATTTCCACAAGGCCTTATACTTCTTGGCTCCAGAGAAGGCTGTGCTGACTTGAATGAAGAAGAGCATTCTTACTACCAAGAATAGTTACAGCGCAGACAGCTTCACTGCTGGATGCCTACGATGGAAAAAAAACACCTCTCCCATTTCTAACTTGCATTAAATGAGACCAAACCCACTGTTCTATAGTGGACTCGCACAAGACCTTGCCTTCATACTAGGGTAAAAAAAGGGAACAGAGGAACTGAGGAAAGGGAGAAGGAGCGAGAAAAGGGAAGGAAATAAAGTTCATAGGGACAAGATAGCCAAGGGATTGTGTCAAAAGGACGAGACTTTTAGCATGAGAATACAGATTGGAATCCAAGCTGACATTGCAGCGAGAGCCATTTCCATTGGGGACTGGTTGCTCCCCTGTATGAACTGAAGTGCTGCTCGTGTTCAGATTTCCAGTGGCCAGAGAGCACAGTGTAGCTTTTACTACCATATCTGAAACTAATGAGCCCCTTTTGTTGAGACTTACAACAGAGGTCAAGAATTGAATATACATGGAAAGTAACCCCTCTTGGCTCAAACCGAAACAAGTCTGTGGGCAAGTTTGCTTTGCTTCTGAGACTGTCTTCCAAATAGATGACTTTGCTCTTCAGGGATCCTTGTCTGGCACAGGGTCGCTGTGTTTCGTTGGTTCGTTGGCTAGTTTGTACTTACACATTTATGCAGCTGTCTCGGTACTGGTTTTACAACATTATAGTTGCACTGTTGTGGGATTTTTATTTTTTTTTTTAAACTTAAATCAGTGGAACAGCAGAGCAAGTCCCCTTCCATTTGGCTAGTAGGTTAATCTATTTTGTTCTAATACAGATGGATTTGTATTTCTGTAAAGTAACGAATACCTTTTTAAAATGTCAAATACTAGTTGAACTGGGTGACATTTTTAACCCCAAGGTTTAAATCTCCTAGAAGATCAACAGAATTCTGCCTTCTAGGTGCCTAAATTGCTTCTGAAAATAATGGAAAAAAAGAGTATAGGCTTCTAAGGCAATTTTAAGCATTGATTTTTTTTTTTCCCCTTACTTTATGCACAAGTTGCATCTGAGACAGCTTAAATACCACATTAAGGATGACAGCTTTGTCCATGATGTCCCTCATATGTTTGTCTGCTAAGCTTTAATGTATTTTTAACTATGACTATTATAAAAGTGTAGAAATAATAAAATATAACAAAAGTGCTTTGCTCAGAGCTTGCTTCTTTAAGGTAATGGAAAAGTTATATGACAATGCTTTGCAGAATTGTCCTGTGTTTGGAAACGTACATCTACATTGTACTTCCACAAGCGATAGGCAGCTATAGTATTCCTTCTTTACTGCAGCACACCGCCCTTTTCCTCTGTGGAAAAGAATCAATATATATGATAGTAGTTACAGATACCTTAGTGGTAACAGTAAAAGACTCAAACATTGCAAGTTTAATTCCAGTCACTTTTGCATTGCTGGAAATCAGGAATAATTCTATAACAGTGAGTGTACTTACAACTTAGGGAGATCAGAATCAGCTTCTTCAGTGCCTAGAGCCGAAACCCAGTTGTGTGATGTAACACTGCCAGTAGCTAAAGGTTGACTGGCTTTCCTAAGTCACAATGTCACAATAAGCCAACAGAACTAGGGTAATATGCGATGGTTGAAATCAATACCATGTCCATTAGTTTTGATGATTTGAAAGTCAGTTAAAATCACTTCTAAAGTATCCACCGTGTTGAAAAGCTTTTTCTCCCTTCCCTGGTTTTTTTTTCCCTTATTGTATTTTATTTTGGTCAAACAAAAATACGTGACTTAGGTTTTTAATGTGTTTTATAGCACTGTAACTCTGTGTAATCAAGCCAGGTTTAAGAATAGTTCCAGTTACCCTGCAAAAAATGTCACCCAATTTTTCTATTTTTGCATAATAATAATTACTGAAATCTTGAAGTCCAGCTTCACAGAAGATGAAAAAACACAGGGGCTTATGCAGAATTATCCAGGTTATTGATTCAAATTTTGTGGAAAGAAAGGGCAAGTTCTTCCTGCTCTCTTGTCATGGTGGAAGAGAAGTATTTGTTTCTACGATATTTTTGTCCTTGGAATTCTAAGCCTGGGAAGTTCAGAGGAAAGCACAAGTTAAAAAAGAAAAACAAAAGACCAACAAAAATGCCAACTGAGAACCCATTCACTCAAACACGTTTGCCGAATTTGGGTGGTGGTGGTTGAATTTTAAGTGAAAATGCTCTTCAGTTCTTATTTAAATAATTTATATCAAGTTTAAAATAAAATAACAAAAAACAGAACTGTAAAATTGCTTTTCATTTTCATCATAGAAGCGTGTATCTTGTTGATGTGAATAATTTCTTCAGAGACAACTCTTACATACAAAGTGCAATTGGAGGATGTTCTCCGATCATGTCATGCTAATTTTCCAGTTTATCAGTCATTTCAGTTCCAAACTGGAATGACAAGATGATATCACATTTGATCTTAATATATATCATAGAACCTTTTGGGTTTAGAAGTTCATATGAGCTGAAAACAACTGTCTTTGCTTGAACAGTGTTATGCCAACAGCAGTTTGTTAATAACATTCTTTTCTCTTCTGCTCATCGCAGGATGAAGTGGCCCAGCCTCTGAACCTTTCAGCCAAACCCAAGACATCTGATGGCAAGTCTCCCACATCACCCACCTCTCCTCATATGCCAACTCTGAGAATAAACAGTGGGGCCAGTTCACTAAAGTCCTCTGTGCCAGCAACATTAGCTAGTCCTTCGGCCAGAGCTAACACAATAGGTAAGCTCAGTTTCATTTGTCCCTCCTCATAATGATTAATAGGTGTTAATGGGAAGTGGGCATTTATCAGCCAGTGCCAGACAGTGGTCTCTGAGCTGTCACGAGTTGACCGTAATACTACATTTGTTGATGTCAGTGGAGAAACTCCCACGGACTTGCCATTTCAGGAGGAGTATCTTAACTTTTACAGACTCAGAAAACAAAGACCTGTGTTATTTCAGATACTGCTTTATCAGTGAAAGTTAATAAATGCTGTTTGTTTAATCCTATACGTTAAAGACGGCGACCTGTCTAATGGTGGGCGTTAAAGACCCATGATATAGTACTGTGTCATCTAAAAGTGATGGATAGACTTTAAAAAAAAAAAATCCCTTTAAGGTAAAACTCTACATATGCAAATACATTTTTGCAAAACTACAGATTTAATCTTTAGTCCACTAAAAAGCTGCCTGGAGTATTATTTTACCTTGCTCTAATAAGCCAAACAGTCACCAGGTTCCTTCAAAAAAACCAATTTTGATGTTGTATCTTGCAAAAAGTCTTGACTGGCTGTTACAACATTGTTCCAGAAAATAGTGTGAATTCTTCCTCCGGCCAAAATTACCTCTTTGCCTAAAGACGATCTAAATAATAACAGTCTTAGGGGTGATTTTACAAGTCTGATATGTTAAAGGGACTGCTGTCTGTTTGTATCAGTAAGATGTGTACACACCCCATTCTTCATCCTTGTAACTGAAACTTTTTATTCCATGAAGTGATTGAATATAACCCGAATTAAGATTTCAGCATGTAAATCAACCTCTGTTTAGGGAATTAAGTGAGGTAGATAGTTGGACCTTTGCTACTGTGTGTCTTATTGCTCCTAAAGCATCTCCTGCTGGCCACTTTCAGGGATGGCACAAAAAACAGAAGCAGCCATAGGTCAAACCTATCAGAAGCAGTTTCTGTGATGTCTCGGTGCTATGTAGTAAAATCTTTTTGTGCCTCTATGGGTCCCTCATAGTCCATATTCTACCTATGTAGACATTAGGAAGACCCATAGTTGGGATCAAACCAGATCTAGTTCCCACTGTATTACCCTTCCACTGTGCATACATGATTATTGCTAATATTGATGAGAGTTACGTATATCAGAGAGATAATATGATTTTATGCCTTTTAGAAAATAAAATAACTTTATTTGGTATGACATGTTACAATTATATAAATATTTTGTAAATATCACATTGTTAATTATTAATGCATGTATTATTATTAACCCAACACTCTTTAACTGTGGTAGGTAGTAATGTATGTCATCTTTAATTTACTTGGCCCTTCTGCTCTCCATGTACAATGCATCGAGTTTCAGTTTTTTCACATTACATTTTTTGTCCTTAATAGAGTGAGCATCACATTTAGAGGTGGAGTTAAGCATCTGACCTGCATCTCAGTGCAGGACATCTCTTGTTCTCTCCTCTCCAATCTTCTTT